GCGTTCTGATGTCCAAGAAGGAGGACACAATCCGCGAATCAAACAAGTGGAAATTACGAAGAGTCGCTGTTCTCGATGGCTCGGGGTTCGTCATTTGAATCAAATGGACGCATAGGTTGACGCTGCCATCGTCCACGTCATCCTCTGCTGGACTCCTATCCACCAACCCCACAAGAGTTAGTAGAGTTATCACCAAGACCACAAACTGGAGCCAGGATACATCCAACAGAAAGTGTCGCTGATCAGGATCGATGTTGTTAATCCATATGGTGTGTTCCAAAGTTATCACGAGGTAAAGCCGTCCAAGCGGACTTGCAATATTTCGATAGGGGATAACGTTTGCCCAATTCAGTTGCTGGATTTCGTTAAACCAGGCAAGAAGGCGAGAGTCATCGATTTCCGATGGCAAATTAAACACTCTGGTATGAAGTTTCTCTAGAACTCGCCCTAGAACGGTTTCGGGCGTTTCCACCAGACCCAGGTATCGATACCACATCGCAGCGGCACTGAGGAAGACGGCAGCAAATACGATTGAGACCAGCCACGGAAACGCTGGAGATGCCACGGGCACTCGGGCGCCAAGCATACTAATCACAACCTGCGAGTTGCAGTCTCGACGGGGACCAAAGGCGTCAGGGTGCCCATAAACGGCATCGAACAAGGCGTAGGAGGATAGCGGAGCGAGACCGGAAAGGAGACCGATAACGCCAAGACCAAGGGGTAAGGACCACATGCCGTCAGGAGTAAAGCGAAGATCGGTCAGCCAAGAGCCCTTGCCATAGCTGCCACGCGCCGTCGGCCGCGAAATAGCTAGGAGGAGAGACAGGCAGACGCCGTGAAACAAGTCAAGTTCATCTCGGGATACGAGCCGCAAGCCCACCGAAAGGAGGGCGATACCAGATACTGCCAACGCAGCATTTACAAGGTAGAATCCCTTGGAATTGGGATAGAAAGGACGGGCAAGCGAGATGACGATTGAAAGGACGTAGAGCGGGAAGCGAATCTATGATAGACGTTAAAAAGTATACATATGAGGCTCTGGTCAGGCTTGGATACTTACCCCGCTACCTATTAAGGCTGGGTTGGGCTCGATATCGCACTTCATGACACTTTTGTTGCTTAATAGAGTCTTCTATGGTCTTATTTCTTCCAAGGAACGAGTGATGAATGCTCAAATTACATGTGAAGTGCTCGAGAGCGAGCATTTTAATCAAGAGAGGGAAATGTGATGAGTCGAGTTATGGTAGTATTATCGTAGGACTTTCGGTTACCAATGCGGCATGGGATATGCGGACGTGCCCAGCTGAAATACAACCCTCCTGGTGGGCCACCTCCACTGCAGCTGAGTTGTCTACCCGCGGAACCCGTAGCCTCCTTCGCTTTGGCAACTCATATCTTGAGTCTATAGCCTTTCTTTACTTTGAGCATCTAAACTCTTTCTCGCATCCTATGGGCTCCGGGTCAGCTGTCCAAAATGTTGCCATTCACGATCTTGGCCATTTGGGCCTTCATTGCCTTTGTGATCTTCTATCCACATTTCAACCCCCTTTCTTATTCATACTTTTTCTTCTCGGCCGTTATTGTCTTCCTGATGCGCGAGACTATCTGCGTGGAGATGCCGCTGGGCTGGTTCGTAGCCTGGACGTATTTCTTCCTCGCCATGCATCTGATATTCACTCTGGGGATGTCCCATACATGGCACATACTCTGGGCTGTCCTGCTGACTGGCCTCTGGATGCTGTATCAACCAAAGCTATGGTTCATTCGCTTCCTAGCCTTTGCGGCCACTGCGACATTTCTAGTTTGGATTGTATACACGTTCTACGTCTTCTACTGGGTAAATCCAGATAGAAGTTTGCTGTTCCCTTTTGATCTATTCAGCGGCTATCTGAGGGCGCCTAAGGAACAATGGCACCCTTACAACTCCGAGGATCGACCACTGTGCGACCTGTGCCAGAAATTCCTACACAAATCCAAGTTAACAATGGGCTCGTCACTGCCTCTCGTGAAGCTTGTGGAATGGTACCCCTTTTATGATACGATTGAAAAAATACGGCCCCAAGCCGACTCACCTACGTCCTCGAGTACTACCTGTTTTGTGTGTCACCTACTTTGGTTTCCTATGAGCGAAAGTAGGCGAGAGTCCCTCACTGGATCACCACTCGGCCCTCTTAAAATCAAAGTGTGGGAGGAGAGGCCCCTGAGTTCTTACACGTATGTGCAGTTGCACTCGGGCAAGAAGGCACTTGGATCCCGTCTCCTCGTGCATAGAGGAGACTGTTCCCAGCAGCGTAAGTATTGAATACCACCATTACGATTAAATATTTGCGAGTGAGTTGGCTGACAGAGCGCTCTCAATGCCACACAGCTTGTCGCGCAATGGACGAGCCGGCTACTAACTCGACCGCCCACATGGACCAGGCGAAGTCTTGGATAGCAATGTGCCAAGAGAACCATACTCTCTGTAAAGACATCGCGAAAGTTGACTCTCGTCTGCCCACAAGACTCATACGTGTTGAACCACCGGTTCCAGGAAGTTCCGTACCCCGTATACGGCTCGTTGACACTCAGAAGATGAATAGCACTAGCTATATAGCCCTGAGCCACTGCTGGGGAAAGAAGAAAATATTTAGGCTTCTACAGTCCAACAAGGAAGAGTGCTATGAAGCGATCGATTTCACGAAGCTTAGTAAAAACATGCAAGACGCTGCGCTGACAGTCCTTGGTCTAGGCTACTCGTACCTGTGGATTGACTCACTCTGCATCATCCAGGAAGACAAGGAAGACTGGGATAAGGAGTCGAGAACTATGGCAGATGTATACTCCGGAGCGGTCTGCACAATTGCCGCGACTAGCTCTGCATCTAGCGAAGGTGGGTGCTTTCGTGAGCGGAATCCATCCTATCTACAGCCCTTCAAGATTGGATCTTCATCAGAATCGAATACGGAAGTTGGTGCAGAAAGCATCTACGTGCGATTCGACGATATGTACGATTTTGAACGGCATGTTGACAAGGCGCCCCTAAACACCCGCGGCTGGGTCTTTCAGGAGAGGATGCTATCGCCACGAATCCTCCATTTCGGCTCAAGGATGGTGTACTGGGAGTGCTGGCAGCGCTCCGCCTCAGAGGCGTTCCCGCTGGGGTATACAAACAAGAAGTATCCGGACGACTTTCGCGACAATTACTCTCCGACCATCAATTGGATCTACAATCGTGCGCAGTTGGAACAAGCCGAGCGGGACAGCCAAAGTTTTAGCTGGGCTTACAAGAAGAGCATAAAAAATCGGCCACCGCCGCCCGCGGAAGACCCGGATGATACGCCGAAAGAAAGGGAGAATTGGATAAAAAGGCTACGCTTCTGGCAGGATATCCGCAAAGCGTCTGAGGATTCGTGGTGCCTTGATTCGACCAAGGCCAGTGGGTTTCGGGTCGCCTTCCACAGATTGCAGACGGAGACGTTTACAGAGAAAGTCGGACCGTCGAGCTTTACTTACCTCTGGTACGAGATTGCGGAAGCGTACGCAAGAAGCGAGCTCAGCTATAACAAAGACAAGCTTGTTGCCATCGCGTCTATGTCCAAGTTAATCGAGGAAAAGCACGACTATACCTATGTGGCTGGTATTTGGAAAGAATCATTACTCACAGATCTTCTATGGTTCATCAGAGAAGGGGAGGGCCGACGCCTAACCATGCAGTCAAGCACCGAGAACTCGACACAAATGATTCCTGTCTGTCCGACCTGGACCTGGGCTTCAGTAGAAGGGAAGATTGGTATCGACCTTGTGCCGGAGAACGCTCGATATAGCATAAGAGTTAGTGAAGAGATCGCAGAGATACAGGACGTTTCGATGACGATACCTTCCGATGGCGATGCGTCAACGACACCTCTGAGCGGAAGGCTACAGATAAGAGCCCCTCTGTTGAGGAGATCAGAAGCCACGCGACGTGGTCGTGCATGGCAGATCCAAATAGGCGATCTTCATAAGTCACCTCGAGTTAGATTCCTGCCTGACGTCGAGGCCGAGGATCCAAGCGCCATTCCTCTAGACACCATTGCGTGCTTACCGATATTAGAACTAGAGACATCTGTGAACTTCGATGACGCCGACGAGGATACAGAATGGAAAATACAGGGGCTAGTTCTCAAGAGGTGTAATGAAGCTGGCCAAGATGGCAATCCTGTTTTTGAGCGATTGGGGCTTTTCATTGCGGACCATAAGAGTCTAAGCCGTAAGGCAAGACGGGCTATCCTGGATAGTGATAAGACTACCGTAGAGGTTGTGTAGAATAAATCCTGAATGAGTCGGACTGCCGCATAGGATATAGAAATAGTGAAAAAGGTATTATGCGATAGTAACCAGCCTGTGATATTAGAGATGCCATCGTTCACGAGAATCTGGTGGAGATTGGAAGGTACCCTGTCATGGAGTTAAGAACCACACCGACGAGACAGATTGAGCGACCACAGGATTAACTTACTGTGAGATTGAACAAATAGATAGCGGGGATATTGCTAAAGGGTTGGAGAAATACTGGAATTCGATAGGAGATTAAGAATTAATCGTGATCGGTGGCCTTAGTTGGCAATAGGAAATATCCGACTCTCGGGAGGGTAGGAAGGTCGGCTTCAATAAGCTTCACTATTACCCAAGGATTAAACCAATGATGACGAGGGAATCAGAGACTCACGCGAGGATCGTGCTAGATTGCCAATGATCAATCAATCACCCACCGCGCCGGTATGCCCTGAAATAAGGCGAAGACTAGCATTCCCTAGATTGGCCCGTTCCGCCTAAAACAAATTCCACATCGTGACTTGAACGCCTAGAAAATGGTAGTTTCAAATGCCCTTGACCAAGACATAGTGCAGAATCGTGAGTCAGTCTAGTCCAGAATGTGGGAAGTCAAGGGATGGTAGGCATGTGGTCAAATCAACTCACCCCTTTCTGCAGCATCCCTCCGCCGACGATTGAGATACAAAAACCCTCGACTTCGGTCAGCAATGAAGAGAAAAGAAATTCCATCAGCATCAAAAGCTTCTCTAGTCAACTCACTTCAGTCACTCATTCGACTTACTCTCAACCAATCAACAATTTCACTTCGCAAACTTTTTTCAAGTTCCAACCCAACCAACACCAATCCTTCAAAATGCAGCACCGCACCATCATCGCTCTCATCACCCTGCTCGCCGCAGCAGCCCACTCGGCCCCCGTCGGCACTGCTCCCGCCGGAGCGCTGGCCGCTCCCGTACACATGTCGAAGAGCATCGCTCGTGAGGCACCTCACGGCGTAGCCACCGGCATCAAGGGCAGCGCCAAGGGCGCCGAGGGGTCATCTGATGAAGAACACCGAGCCAACGAAGCCGACCGCCTCGCCGCAGGCGGCGGACGCATCGGCGGACAGCAAGGGCAGCACGCGCAGGAGCAGAGCGAACACGCCGCTAGCCAGGACCAGAACGCGGCCGCGCAGGAGCAAGAGGCCCAGCGCCAGGACCAGCAGGCGCACCAAGAAGGCCAAAAGGCCGCCAGCGGCGAGAAGCACCAGTTCGGCGCGGGCTACGACTCCAGCGAGCACGGCCAGAAGTCTTCCAACCAGGGCACTTACGGAGCCGACCGCGCGGCCTCCAAGAAGGGCTTCGCGCAGAATAACAAGAGCGGCGCCAAGAGCGGCGACCACTTCTACCACGACCAGTCCGACGACTTCCGCGAGCACGGCGCCGGCGCCAAGGCCGCCGTCGAGGGCTCTGAGTCCGCGGGCGAGGCCACCCACAAAGACCAGCAGAAGAGCAAGGCCGCTGCCGAAGGCACCAAGAACCGGGAGCAGGGCGCGCAGTCCGCCGCGGAGGGATCGCACCTTGCTGGCGAGGCTGCCCACGGCGGCGCTGCCGGCTCCCACGTCGCTTCCGAGGAGGACAAGAAGAAGAGCCAGAACAAGGAAGAGGAGGGTGATCTTGCTAGCTTCTTCACCGGTTTGACTGGTGGTCTTAACCACTAAGCTGTTCACCTACCTAAGGTCAGCCATCAGAGAATGTGCTATTAGGCAGGCTTTCTTGTGGATCGTGTAGCATCTTGGTTGAGCGGTTTATTCTGATAGCATCATGAGGGATAGTGTGGGAAAATTGGAAATATTGGTAGTATTGTTTAGATGTTTATCTGTCGGGTTATCTCATCGATTTGGTAGTTGGTGTTTTTCTGTATTCGTAGTAGAAGTCAATTTCACTGTTTCTTGTTAACCATCGATAAGTTCCTTGCTTGTCTTGATTTATCGATGTCTCATTCTATATTTAGCCCTAGGTTGGTGAAATTGAAAATCATAGCGCAAACTCCTCCCCAACTCCAGTCCTAATCCGTTAAACCCATGCATATGCCCCGATCTTGAGATGCCAATCAATGTCGCTTGCCGTATGTTGAAAATCAGACTCCGCAGAATGCCGTGTATATGCCTTTGATTATCATGTCTTGTTCTATCGTTGCTGTGACACAGGAAGAGCTTTGTTCGAAACCTCAGCGACGAGCCTTCTGAACTGCGGCCCGAGAGTATCAAGTACAAGTGAAACGTCGGGAGCATCGAGTTGCGCTAGTTCTTCTTGTTCGGTGATAGCATTCGTATCCCAAGTTTCGGAACTGGCAATGGCTTCAGTCTTTCCCAATGCCTTGATCCCTTTGACGTTCTTCCCATTCCTTGGTGGACCTCTTGGTGAGAATGGAGTAACGACAGTCTCATCTAGTAGGCAGTGCCAGCGGGTGATATACACACCCGGACCGCTCATATTGCCGTCTGCCTTCTCTTCCGTATCTATAATACTCTGTGTACGTGCCTTAGACATGTCTTCCAGAGTGGATAAGTACGTCGCATGAGCGTCGATGGCAGTCTTAATATCATTCTGCTTATCTTTGGGTAACTCTGTGAATAAGTTTTGAAGACTCTTGTTAACTTCGTCGGAAGGCGACGTGATAGTGTTATTGTTCTTGTTATCGGATTTCTGCCTGAAATATTCGAGACTCTCATTAGACCATTGAAGCCATGTTGTTAACAGATCCGGACATCCCTTTGCAAAGTCATGCAAGTAGTCATAGCCGAGTCGACGGTTCCGTTTTAGTAAAGCAACGTAATCCTCAACGGAAGGTGGTCTGGTGCCATTGTCCTGCTTCTTTGGCTTACTTGTTTCTATCAGGTCAGTCAAGAAGCTTTCAACAGAGCTAATGTGTTTCCGTAGGTCCACATTCTTATGGATGGCTCGAATCATGGGTTCGAATACGGATACTCCATCCCGAACGATAGAAGTTGTTAAGTCTGGGGACTGGCGACACGTAGCCTCGGTGATTTTCTCTCTGTCTCGTATCGCGAGTTGAGCAGAGTAATACTCTAAGCATTGGGTATGCTGAGTTTCTGTGAGAGATTCAACCAAAGCCGTATCCTTCCTCTCTAAAATAGCGATAATAATAGACTTGTCGCCTTGTCGACTCAACTCACGGACGGATTCGTGCTCCTCTCTGGAGGCCTGCAGATGTTCGTCGATCACGGCTAGATGCGATTCACTTGGCCCTTCACTACTTTTCCTTATGGTATCAACAGCCTTACGAAAGTCGCTCGTATCCCATTCTAAGACCAGTGATATTATCCTGAATAATGTCAGTTCGGTGTTTCTTACACGAGGGAAATAAGGATATACCTCTGCATCAAATTCATCCCATCCGAGGCGTTCTGTGTTAATCCAAGCCAGTTCGATATAGCGCCAACACTCACTTTAGCCAGGAATAACCTCACCATGGCATTTATCATGGTTCCGGCATTTCCGACACGTAGTGTTTGACCAATGACTGAGTAAGGGACTAAGCTGTGGACATTACTGACCAACTTGAGCAAGTAGGGTCCTTCGGCCGAGAAAACGAATAGATGGTGAAGGAAGGTCGCTATGTAGATGATGGCAAAATCCACTGCGGCCTTGACTGCAGGAGAATGGCTTTTGAGATCAGGAGTCTTGGCGAAGTGGGCGAAAAGCTCATCGATTAGATTTCCATAGACGAAATGTTGAACCACATCGTCCCAAGCTCTGGAAAGATCCTCTGCTTTATTCGTGTCATAATCCTGATGGAGATCCGGCAGCTTCTCATTGGGGACACCACTCAATAGGCCTCGAGTAATGCTCGCATGAACGACCGATGCAGCCGAAGCAAGTCTCTTCCTGCTTCCCAGTGTTCCTTTATCGTAACTTTCCGACAGGTCTGCTTCACCAAATCTTCTCATAATATTCCGGAACTTGTCGGACCAAAAATCAGGGGATAGGTCTCTCACCCCTGGCATAGGAAGGATCAGTCTAGTGAGAAGAAGTTGAAGTAGCGGGGATTCCGAATTGCCGTTATTCTTGCTAGAGGCATCGAATGGGAATCCATAGTGTTCGATGGCCTCGGGGTCTTTAAAGCTCTCGGCTTCCGAGTAAGTCTCATGGTGGACAAGAATATCCAGCAAGGCCTCCAACTCTCGATGAGATAAAGTGGCGGACATGATGGGCGATTAAAGATGATGGATCAAATAAAAATGGTAAGAAAGTGAGGAAGATTTATTCATCGGTGTGGAATGATATGAAACTGATCCATTTCGACCACTTTCTAAACCGAAAACAATATTAAGTTTGTGTTCCAAACTGATGGAGCACAATCACAATTGTACGATGAAGATGAACATTTCTGGCCGTTTGTATTCTCCAATGGACCAATACGACGTGCTGACGTCATCTGACTTTCACTTAGGTTATTTACCGTACTCGTAAACTCTACCTCATGTAGCTTTTGAGGCGCGACCCGCTTGAGTTAAGTTAGGTACGAAATTGGTACCTAAGTACTTCCGAGATGGCCACATGAGATGAACGCGTGAACAACACATTGCCAATATCTTCGTCAGGCTTTTAGGCTCACATGAGTCCTACTTTTCTAAGAATTACTTGTGTCGCGGCTTACTGTTTCTGAGTGTGTATTTAGATTTGGTAAAGTAAATTCAACTAATTTTTCAATGTTGGAAGTGAAATAATATTGGTTGTTTGATTTCTGAAGGTGCAGAGCTTCAAATTCAGCATTTCACATGATAAGATAAGCATATACTCAATATAAGCATATCTATTTAGCCGCCATTTAGTATCTGGTCTGTGCGCTTTACTCCGTTCTCCGAGATTTCTGCGGATATCCGACAAGCCTCAAACACTTGCCATCTTCAATCTTCACTATCGAATCTCAAAATGACTCGTGGGGACAATGCCGCCAGGCCGCGATGATACTAATACTGGCTTGCCTCGGGATGTCTACACCGGAATCCTCCCCGTCGTACCCCCCGACGGCAGCATAGACAATGTCCAGTCGCGCAATAACGCCGCAACCGCCGCGTCAGCTGCCGGTGTACGTGCCTTGAGCGCGCAAGCCATCGCGTTTTATTTCAGGGCGCCCGTCAAGGCTTTCTTTCGTACGCGAGTGGATTATCTGGCCTACGCTCGGAGTGTTCACCAAACGCAGACGGAACTACTAGCTCGTGCAGCTGCTACCGATCAAACTGCTTCGAAGTTGGGTCTCACTCTTAGGCAGGCGTGGCAATGGGCGCGCGGGACAACTCCGGGCTTGCTCACATCCGTCATTCAGCAGCATGGATGGAGTGTCGTTCCCCAGCAGATTCTTCCGCCGCTTATAGCGAATGTCGGCGTGGGGGCTATATTGTATACCAGCTATCTACACATTCTAGCCACACTTCATGAAGAGACTTCGAGAGGAGGAAAAAGGGTGTTTCCTCCGCCAGATCCTATTCACACTTTCACCGCCGGATTTTTAGCCGGGAGCCTCCAAAGTGTTGTGGCTGCGCCTCTTGATGCGATTCAAGCCAGATATGATCATCGCGATCTTATGTCTGGCGATGGGAATGGAAAGCCGAAGAGCATGTGGACTTTCTCGGCTGATAAGCTAAGGGAAATAGGGCTACGAGGAGTCTTTGCGGGATGGGGTCTCTCGTTTATGAAGGATAGCTTCGGCAGTGCTGTGTTCTTTAGCACTTTCGAGTATGTGAAGGCACAAGGCTATTACCGGTTCATCACATGGTACTACAGCGGCCTAAAGCCAGATGCTGTTGATGCATTGGCCCAAAAGAGACCATCACATCACCACACGCCCGACGACAAAGACGGCAAGCGTCCAGTTATCATACGGCCACATTATGCTATCGAGCCAGCCTTTTTGCTACTCGCTGGTATCACAGGTTCTTTCGTCCAGCATCTGTTACTTCATCCTTTGACCCACATCCAAGTCCAGCATTGGGATCATCTAGAGGATCTCGATGCTAAGGCAGCCAAGATGAGAGACTCAGCCGTCGCAAACCCTGATAAACCAAGGCGTAGATGGCGCATGCTTCGCGCTTATTACCACGCCTATCGGGAGACCTGGACGCAATGTGTCGCAGAGGCAAACGCAGAAGGCAGAGGCCTGACGCGATGGCTTTACCGTGGCTTCTGGTGGAACACTAGTAAGTGTCCTACAGTTCAAGCATGCTTTGATACTCCGATGATAATAAATGACTAATGAATATTCGCTTCAGTTCGTCAAGTGCCAAGCACAAGCGCTGGATTGATCATCTTCGAACTAGTCCGACGGAAATATGGAAGCGGAAACGAGCCCGTCCGAGTCGCCAAGGACGATTACGAAATTCTTCTTGATTAGATCTATCTAGGTAGTGGGTGTTTTGGCGTTTGGAGGTAGACATCGGTATTCCCCACTCGGATTACGACTTTCTTCGGCATAGTAATGATAACAGACGGTATAAATGAGGTAGACATGTGTAGGTAGGTATATATACAAAGCGTTAAGGGGTATCTCATCTCCCCTTATTTCCAGCACTACGAATAAACGGCTCAAGTGGTAAGACTTGACCCTCCGGCGTTACGCCTTCATACAGCTGTGCCCAGCGGTAGTTCAAAACTTCCGGAGTCTGCCACGCATTTTCCGGATCCCTAAGCCATAAACGCAGAAGATGGCGACTAGCGACTAAGTTAGTACCGTGAGCAAAACATTGGCCGAAAAGTAAGGTGATGGAATTATACTCACCGTTTTTCCGGCGTATCAGTGAAGCCGTCTCTGGCATGGAAGATAGCGAGATT